AAAATATTAATTAGTTTATTGTGCTGTACCTTGTCAAATGCTTTTTCAAAATCAATAAAACATGTATACATGTCTTGGTTCATATCCAGATTTCTTTGCATGAGCACATTTATACCGAACAATGCTTCCCTGGTTCCCGTGCCGTTTCTAAAGCCTAACTGACTATCACTAATTTCATCATCCAGCTTTCTGTAAATTCTGTTGTGGACTATTCGTAGAAATACTTTCAAAACATGGCTCATTAATGCAATTGTACGGTGTTCTGAGCATTCTTTTGCATTTTGCTTTTTGGGAATAATTACGAATGTAGATACTAACCACTCCTTTGGTAAAATACCTGTTTGATAAATATGATCATAAAGTTCTACTAGAATGTTTATCATTTCATCATCGATCAGTTTAAGAAACTCAATCGGGATTTCATCCGGACTTGTGGCCTTTTTCCCTTTTGTCTGTTTTAATGCGTATTGAACTTCCTGTTTTAAAATTTTTGGTCCCGATTCACCAGAGTCCTCATCTATGATTTGTTGTCTGTCATCCCCGAATAGTTCTTTTATGTATTCTGTCCATCTGTTTAGTTGTTGTTTTGTATCTGTGAGAATGTTACCATTCGAGTCTTTTATAACATGTATATTATTTTGTTTTCCCGACGTCATTTCCTTCACTTTCCGATGAATATTGAAACTATCATATTTCTTTTCATATTCTTCTATTTCGTGACACTGTTCAGTTAGTTAATTCTAATTTGTTAATTTAAATTTAAAAATTCGAATTAAAAATGTATCCACAAAACACAAAGATGCCTACAAAAACATCTGCAAACGATAAAAATCAACAAGAGTTGATCATTTTTATCGCTTGCAGATGTTTTCGTTTCTATTCTTGTCCAAATTTTGTCAACCGAAAAAAAGGGCCAACAAAATTCAGGAAAGAATACCAATTAAAACATTTTGCAAGGTATAAAAATTGTTCAATTATTATCGATTTTTCTCGAATAAGAATGACAGAATTGGAAATGACGTTCCCCCAGCAGTCTAGTGGAAAAAGCTCTTCTAATAAAGTGTCGTTTGTGTTCTCATTTGTTTTTTGAAACCAACTTTTTTGAAACAGTGTTTGATCGTTTCGGGTGTTACTTTATCCGAAGCTTTCTTTCATATTCGAGATACTTGTAGAATGTCTAACTAACACTCTGGTCCATAGGCTGGAGAACTGAAGTCATGGAAGGACAGGAAAGAATACTATGTACCTCTTTTTGCGGAAATTTCTAGAATGAAATTGGTCTCTTTACCTTGTAGAAAAGTTCGAATTATCCAAAATTTATTCGAATTATTCATGACTCTATACCATTACTTAGGGACCAGAATAAAAATTCGAATTAAAGAAGATTTCGAATTAGCGACGTTCGAATTAACCAGGTTCCACTGTACTATAAGTGTTGTTTAGTACCATTGTGTAAAATTACAACCATTAAAACCCCCAATAAAATATTTATTAGATTACAAGTCGACAAGAAACGGCATTTAAAGTGCTTACATGCATGCCAAAAAGACATTTAAGTTCATTGTCAAGCTCTTTATGTATGTGAAGATCATTTTAACCCTTTACTGCATAGTAAGCCATATATGGTAGAATACTTAGTTTTATACCTAACCGTTAGAAATCGAAGTACATTATTTCGTATAACCGAAATAAATCGCCATCTCAACACAATAAAGTGAACTTTTATGAAAATTTGCAAATGGCCGCGATCTGACAGCTGTTCATATGAATTGTGCAATTTGATATTCAATTATCGAAGTTACTAGAAGAAACTAGGTCTTATTATTTTTTTATTTTAGATAATGGATCCAAAAAATTTTTATGGTGAAACTCTTGTGATAGTAGACATACCAGATGGTAGTGAAAACAAAGAGCTATCAGACGATGATATTTCCACTATTGTTAGCCCCAGAGTCAGACTATGAAGATTATGTATAATAGATAATAATGAATCAGATATTATTATCTAAGAAACTGGTTTAGAAAGCAGTTCGAATAGTGAAGATGATATTTCTTTGGACGAATTACGACTTAATCTAATAAAGAATAGAAATAAAAATCATCTAACTTAGTTTATCAAACTATATTATATTCAGTGAGGAAAAGACCTCAAAAACATTCTGAAAATGAATCAAAACAGTTCTTAGAAACCTGTATTTATATGGTAATAGTGAAATTGCTAAACGCTAGAAGTTATTGGAACTCCAGCCTGAATCATCGATTGATCTCAGACGTTATGTCATGCAATAGATGGGAAAAAATAAACGTTTTTTACATTTTGCGAATAATAACGATGCTATTGCTGTCGGTAATCCTGGTCGTGATAACCTTTTTAAAATCCGGCCGGTACCTAATAAACTAAGGAATCAGTTACTCAAAGTTCTGAAAGAGAAATTTTTAGCCATAGATGAGCAGATAATTCCAACAAAGGCGCATTCATCTATTAAACAAGATAATCCGCAAAAAACCCCACAAATGGGGATATAAGGCGTTTTTTTTTAGTGGTGTCAGCGGATTTTCCTCATCATCATCATCTTGATGCTACAGCCCTTAGAGGGCCTCGACCTTCTCAAGTTTTCTGTTGTGTTCCTTGCTTGCATTTTCCAGTTGCCGACTCCGATCTTCTCGGCATCTTGTGTTACCTTGTCTATCCACCTGAGCTTTTTGGTCTACTCCGTCTTCTCATTCCCACGGGTTGCGCTGCTAGAATCTTTTTTATCATGTTAGATTCAAGGGCTTGGGCTACATGTCCTGCCCGAATTTTCCCACGATTATGAAATTTTTGTGGGAAGTCAGACTAATGTTGTACCCAATGGTTTTCCTAATTTAGGCGTAAATTCAAATGTTGTTCTTCGGCTAACAGAAACAATACCAAGACTTATAAATCACAAAATATTCTTTGATAATTGGTTCAACAGCGTCCTATTGCAAATTTATCTGACGAAACAGGGTATGTTACCATTAGGAATAATTAGAATAAACAGAGTGCCAACAGTAATATGCCAAAAGAGGCAATTCAAAAAGAACAGCCGAAGAGCTATGATAGGGAAAGTCGCCACAATTGATGGTACAAGAATATCTGTTGTTACATAGTATGACAACAAATTAGTAAACGTTTATACGCCAAAGAGCTATGATAGGGAAAGTCGCCACAATTGATGGTACAAGAATATCTGTTGTTACATGGTATGACAACAAATTAGTAAACGTTTTATCGACATATGCTGGGAGTATGCCAATAGTTGAAGTTAAACGGTTTTCGAAAAAAGATAATATACGGTATATAAGTAGATCTCCGGATTCAATGTTGGGATATTATAGGATCAAACTCAGATCCAAAAAATGGTACATGCGTATATTTTTTCATATTATTGATTTGATGACTGTCATGTTAATTGTTTGGACAAGAAGTGACAATGAGCATAATAATTTAGCTCTGGCAGATTTCAAAATGGCAGTAGCAGAGTGTTTATTATGCAAAGTTAATAAAGTTGGGTTTACTACAAAAAGTCGTAAATTACTACACGGATCGTCCGTGTGGAGCTATGGAAAATTTACACAACAAGAAAAGAAGGGGTCCAGCAACCGATATTCCAATGCAAGATGTATGAACAGATAGATATGGTCATCTTCCATTATGCTGTAGTGAAAGGCAAAGATGCGAATATCCCTGTGGTTCAAAAGCTTCATAAAATGCGAGAAGTGTAATGGTTTTCTTTGCTTAAACAAAGATAAAAATTGTTTTTACAACTTTTACACTAAATAATTATTATAATTAGAAAGTAATAAACGTCATTTTTATATTAATTTTACTTGTTGAATCTTGTTCTAATGCATAGTGTGCCATATATAACACACAAAAAAAAATAAAAAAATACAAAAAATTAACCAAATAGGTTTGTATTAGAAGGATCAACCACAAGCTAAAAAAAGTCCTAGTTCATGAAAGTTTCTGTAGGTAACAAATCTTTTTGTATTAGGAGATCAGAAATGAGAAGAGTTTAGTCCATAAACGTGACAAATCTTTTAAAATAGCCCCTTAAGCAATAATTCTTTCTGCGAGGATAGCAGAAATAAACGAATTAGTCCAGTGTTAGTATTACATTGGACCAAAAAAGCAGAAATGAAAAGATACTATAGTCCATCCAATGTTATGGAGATAAAGTCTGGAAACACCTGTCATGCAGCCTTCTAATCCGACTACCATCATACATCTGGACGTCTGTATGACAGGAATTGACTATGTTTTGTGAATGCCCCAAACCACATATGTCCGTTGTATGATCAATTCTGCCCCCACTCGTCTCCGATCACACCAATATTGCAGACAATTCGTATTTTTCCTGCGGAACACTTGTCATTTGGTGCTCAAGTTTTGCGAGATATTGTTTTCTTTCAACTAAAAATATGGTACCATGATAAAAATTCGTTTGTTTTTAACATCTGCTACACTTTACAGTTTTAAAATTAGTTTATTCAAATGTGATAGAAAATATTTGAAATGAGAGCAACTTTTTGAATTTATAAAATACAACTTTACTTATTTTATCTTTAGGCAGTAAATCTACCACAAAAAGTTTCTCTTTGTTGCTACTTGTTCTACTGTATATTAAGAATTGATTATCCATATCTCATAAAGAAATTATTTTTAAAATACCAACTTTGTCATGTCTGTAAGCGGAAAAAAAATATGATCCATATAATAGAAATCCTTTAGATATAGCAACAAGTAGAACAAAACATGCAGCATATTTATTGTGCATCATTTTCTATATTTTTTTATTGACCACGTTTTCCGGTTAAATATGTCGATAAACTGTTATAGTATATAAAAATGTGTGATAATTTGTGGCTAACTCATTGTACTTACATTGTTACAGCATCGCAAACTTAGCTATAGTAGACATGCAGTCAACGATCGAGATCTTTCGACCCAAGTCAATTACAGGATGCACTTTAACATGCGGAGGTTGGTGGCAGATAAGAAACACCATCATAAAAGACACAGCAAAAAGCTCAATAAGGTAAGTGCCAGATAATTGCTTTCTGAAAATTGTTATCAAGTTTTATAGATCTACAATCCATTTTCTTAGTCCTGTCTCTGTTTACCATGCATTGACATTGTGGAAAGTACTTGAAAATTGTTTTTAAGCAAAAACTTGTTTTCGTCTTTTACAGTTTTTAGTTTTTGTCTGTCAATTTTCATTTTTCCCATTTTTCATTAATATGAAGAGTTTTATTTTCACCTAAGATGTTTAGATAAAGAGATTTACATTTTTCTCATTGTAAAAGGTTGTATATCAGAAACATAGGTAAGTATGATGACCAAATCAGGACAGAAGAATGAATATTTTATTAATTTATTAATAATTCTTGAGCCAGAGAATGATAGCCAAAATGTGTGTTTTTACAGAACGACATCCTGAATTACCTTCTGCAAGTCATAAAACCGTTTATAAAGAAGCCACTTTGAATAATTTGATAAAATATGGATCATTTGAAGCACAGAATATTAGAGATAACGGAATTGCCAAAAATAAAGATAATAAGGTGAAAGGTTTGGCATCTTTAACCGACTCACTTTAACAATTCAACATTGTAATTTTCAACAATTCAAAGAATTTTAAAAAAACTTGAAGCCTTACTCCAGACATTAATAATGCGGATAGATATTCATAGACTATTTATTGACTACAGAGCAGCCTATGACTCTGTGAATAGAAGAGAAATGTTCAAAGCAATGAAAGAGCCAGGAATATCAAATCAGTTGTTAAATTTAACAAAACTAACTCTTCAAAAAGTTAAATGTATAGTACGAATTCAGGGGGAACTGTCTGAACCTTTTAAAACAAATAACGGGCTACACCAAGGAGACTATCTCTTTAGTGTACTGTTCAATCTCGCTCTGGAAATAATAATACGTGTGTAACAAATCACAACCTCTCTCTCTCTCTCTCTCTCTCTCTCTCTCTCTCTCTTCAATCCTGACCCCCCAGGGGGAGTGTAGTGGTCGACGTGATGTCGTGTATTGTCCGTCTCCAGAGATCTCTGTCTCTGGTCATTTCTTTTAATTCATGCATAGGTCTTTGGCATATTCCTGTAATTTGATCTATTCATCTTGTTGGGATCTTCCTCGTGATCTTCGGCCTTCTACCTTTCCTTGTAATATGAGTCTTTCCATGTTTTCTGTGTTTGCTCTCATAACATGCCCAAAATATTTTAATTGTTGGAGATGAACTTTACTAGAGAGTCGTTGGCTAACTTTTAGCTCTCTTAAAATTGAATTATTTGTTCTGCGGTCGGTCCAAGGAATTCGTAACATTCGTCTCCAACAGAACATTTCAGTGGCGTCTATCTTTCTTCTCTCCGATTGTCTCAGAGTCCAAGATTCACATCCGTAGGTCAGTATTGGGAATATTAAGCAGCTGATCAACCTCATCTTTATCGCTCTTAAAATTTGACAGTCCTTCCACATTTTGGTCATTTTTGCTGTGGCAACTTTTGCTAGATCAGATCTACGTTTAATCTCTTCTTGTAATAACCCTGTGTTTGTGATTAATGATCCCAGATATAAATATGAGCTCACAACCTCGAACCGGTCAATTGTGGTTATGTATTGATGATTGTTGTGTAGTCTATCCACTATCATGATCTTTGTCTTTGATATGTTTAATTCCAGACCAAATATTTAACTTTCGTTTTTGATCAGTCGTATAAGTTCTATCAGCTCTGCTTGACTATTTGCAAGAAGGGCTGTGTCATCTGCGAAACGTAGGTTGTTTAGTTTATGACCATTTATTGAGATGCCCTTTTCCCATCCTTCAAGTGCTCTTCGCATAATATACTCCCCATATATGTTGAATAATTGTGGAGATAGTATACATTCTTGTCTGACACCCCGTTCTGGATGAAATTCGTTCGAAAGTGTGTCAAGTACTTCATACACAATCACAACCACTGGTTCAATATATAATAAATCAGTGCAAATCCTTACCAATGCTGATGATATCAATATTGTTACGGAAAACGCTGTACAAGAGGTGTATGTGCATTAAAAGAATCAGCTAGAAAAATTGGTTTAATAATAAACACCAACAAAGTAAAGTATATGAAAATAAGCACGCAACCACAAATCCTATGATTTGTGATTCTTTTGTGATCTGATTCTTTTTTTAAGTTGCCTGTGCGCATTCCGCATCATACCATTCTGTCTCCTTCCTTTCTTGTTTCTTCTTTCCTACAACTGTTATGGCTACTTCTTTTAGGATATTTTCGCACTCATTCCAGTAATTATCTATGTTTTCAACAGTACTACTCATTTGGTCTTATAGTTTTTCTTTAAGTTTGTGTTCAAATTTTCTAACTATCTCAGGATTTCGTAGTCTCTACACCTCTAATTTAGCTTCTTTGCTACCTTTACCTTTTTTTGCGTTAGAGATTCGTGCCCTTAGTTTAGAAATGGCATTAAAGAATGTTTTTTGGAGAACATCCAGAAAAAGAAAATGTGGTAAACCACGAAGATCATTGAATGAGGACAAGAGCGATGAATGATTGAAAATTACGAGTAGAGGATGGCTTAGAGAGATAGGGTTTGGCGAAAGATGATTAGAAGAGATTAAATGTATCTTGTATTTTAATTTTTTCTAAAAAATTTCTAAAATTTTATTTTTTTTTTTGATTTTTTGTAAAATATGGTTATTGAAGAATAATGGTGAACGGTTTTTCTCTATGAAGAGGATCCTTATTACAAAATCAGTAATAAAAATGTATATTTTGGAAGTTTATATTATAAATTTTAAATTTAGACTGTTTTGAATGAAATCATTGTATTGTTTTAGGACGGGAAGCAAAACCACGTCAGTTTCCCAGAATTCCAGCAAAACGGAACGGCGAAGCAGTTCTGTTCGGGTAACTATTTCATTTTTTGTCAACCACACCTCACAGATTAAAATTTTGCACACCCCTAGCAATATGATTTTACTCGTAGTTGCCTTTTTGTTACAAAAAAGCTTTAAATCAGATCAAATTGAAAAGTTTAAGTCTTTGCCAAACACATAATATATAAATGAGTCAAATTTTTAAATTTTAAAATAATTAAAATGATTGTAATCAATTAATAAACTGACATAAATTGCCCAAAGTTTTATTGCTAATATACAAATCTATCGAATCCTATCTATTCATTTTTGAATATCCTCCATAAGATGCTTTCCAGTGCTTATTTCATCTTGTTCCAGAGTTGTGAACTAAACACTTCGGATGTGGCTTTTATTTTGCTTTTTTATTTTACTTATTGATTTTTTTAATGTTTACTATTTTCACTTTTCAGTATATTACTTGAAATAAGCTGCTATTAACTTGTTTGCCTTAACTGAATATGTAAGATTTGGTGTTTTTTTTTCTATAGTTGGTTTCCACATTTATAGTACCTTCCAAAAATAGTTATCCTTTTTAAAAAAGTATTCTGTGTTTTCATTACTCTCAAATATAATGATCCTTTGATTCTGTTCTGAAGCATCGTAGGAGGAGGCAGCGTAAGAGAATGTGGTACAATCATGTAAGACCAATGGATGAGAATAGACTCTCAATTGCCCTAAAAAACAACCCACCCGGTTCAAGACCTCCCGGAAGACCACCTAAAAGATGGAGAGATATATGGCAATCTACCTCCCAGGAAATTAACCAGAGGCAGCTTCAGAATTAAACAGATCGAAAGATCTACAAGAAGTAAAAGAAGAAGAAGAAGATTCTGTTACAACTTTTATATCTTTTGTCAATTTCCATTACCTCTTTTTCGTTTGCCATCTTTTGGTAGATATTTCCTTCGAATGTCTGAATTGATTTGGAAGACATGTGTCAACCAGAAATAGAGAAGATAATAACAGACGCAACAGAAAAACAGTAGGAAAAATAAACAAAGCAAACAGTAAAGATTGGTTTGAAACAGAATGTAAAAAGGATTTATAGGCCCAAAGTTAAAATACAAATAAATACACTAAATACAATAAAAATGACTAAGCAGCAAAAAATAAGCAAAACTAATCTGCAGAAAAAAGAAACGAGAATACTGGGAAATTAAGTTACAAGATATGGAAAATCATATGATAAACAAAGAATTTTTACTTTACTTTTACTTTAAGTGAAAGTTAATAAAGCTAAGCGTCTCGTTATTGCATGCTTCTGGAGAAGTAAAGAAAGTACGCTAATAGGTGACTTAACAAGAAAACTAGAGAGATGGGCAGAACTAGCCTGCTGCCGGTAACATGTGCCTACGGGACTGTGTCAGCTGCCGCTCTGTGCGTGATCACCACCTGTGTTCCTTTTCATGTACTGGTAAGTGAAAGGGCCAGGATTCATAATCGCAGGAGACGAAACATTGGAGAGCGAGATATGATTGAGATGAGACTGGCCAAGAGATTAGTTTCAATCGGTCACTAGCAGCAAGTGGAAGACAACACATGATATGGCGGAGTGAACGAAGTTACTAATCCCGAACCTTCAATGCTGGGTGGACTGTCGGCATATGCAGCTATCTTTTCAGGTTTAGGAGGGTATCAGTTCAATCTCTCGTACACTGTGACACACACGATGTTGGGGTGTGAGCATTGGGCGAATGAAAGAGAAAAGTTTGAAAGAGTGTAACTGCAGAATGTTTGATTCCGTGAGAGAAATGGTGAAGGATGAGCGGTGGTAGACACGGGTCCATTAATTTATCAGGAAGCTTCTCTCTTCAAAAGAACGACAGAAAAGGGAATTCGCAACAGAATTTTAAAACAAGCGAGTAAGACCTCAGTGAGGTTCGGTCTGCAGGCTCAAATAGAAGAGAATGAGACACAGATTACGCGAGAGAGATGGCAACTCGCTAAGACAGGGGGTTGAAAGTCTTTGGTGGTTTATATAGATGTAGTTTTCCCGATGAATGTGTGGAAGACAGAATGGAAATCGGATGATAGCAAGTCATCAGGAGAGATGTTTTGCCTTAACCAGTCCTTCCAGTCTGATGTCTGGAGTGACAGATGAGAGGTTTTTAATTGGACGTATCAAAGGTTCAAATCCCTCGGGCATCTCATCCTGACACAACTTCGTTAGGGTATTAAGAACCCAACACTATCTGAGTGTCACAGGTGTCTGTATGCAGATTTTCCTTTTTCTCTTTAAATATGTTACAAAAAAAAGTATATTTTAAGAAACTGCTAAACCCAGAGGAAGATACCAATAAAATACAATCACCAACCGAACCGAAGAAGAGCGATAATGAGTACGAAATAAACAAAGGATCAGATCAGGGCATAGAGGAAATCATAAAGCAGCTGAAGAATAACAAGAGTCCAGGAAAAACGGTAGTACAGCGGAAATATTCAAGGAAGGTGGACAGCTATTATTAAAACGACCAAGCAACCGAATAAAATGAATTTGTATTTTGTTTGGAAAGTGCCTTTTTGATTGAGCTTGGTTATTAATATGGTAAATTTTTGTCTATCCTCTGCTTGATGCGTTACCTACTTGGCTTCCTCGTGTGAGTCCACTATTTTATGTTACGCAACTATGATTTTTTCTTTCTCTCTGTACTTTCCTTTTACATTTACTTATAATTTTACTTTAAGTCGTTCAAATTCTCTATGCCTCATTTGATGTAATCCCTTCTGCTCTGTCTTAAACTAAATGCCAAGTTAAAGTTTGCCGTCTTTTTTTAAATGTGCACAGCTTCTTTTGTGCTTTTTATGTCAGATACATACTACTAAAATTCATACAAATACAAAATTCAGACATAAAGAATGAGAAAACAAAAAAATTGGCGATATGACAAAATTCTATATTTTCATTCAATAGATTACATAACAGAAGTTCTCAATGAGGACGAAACAGAGCCTTCTTCAAAAACGACGAAAGAAGACTGGGATAGTCCCATTACCTTTACGGCAAAATCATCACGTGAGTATTTAAAAAATTGGCTAATTTTGCATGAAAAATTAAAAGTCATTTTCGCGTTTTCCAAATAATAATTAATGTTTAAATGTTGTACAGTGTAGGGCGGTATTTCGTAGGGTTGTATCAGTATGGCATGAAATATACTTAGTTTTTAGAAACTAAAAGACGACCACATTTACATAGAAAATGTGAAAAACTTTTTGGGCATAATAAATTTTTTCATAGTTAAATAGGTAAAGAAATAATAATAAGACTTACTCACAATCAATTTAATTTAACAATCTGACGACCGGTTTCGCTTTCTATAATTTGCAAAGCATCTTCAGGTCGAGATACAAAGTTAAACTAATGATGCCGGTACTCTATTAATTGATGGATGGTAGGTCATGGTTGCAAAAATCATGTATTGTTGATTGGAGAACTTTAATGTGCTATTGCAGTTGTTTTGACAATAAACGGGAAGTTCTTGAGGAGAACAGATTTGATCCAATTCGAACGGGAAGTTCTCCTCAAGAACTTCCCGTTTATTGTCAAAACAACTGCAATAGCACATTAAAGTTCTCCAATCAACAATACATGATTTTTGCAACCATGACCTACCATCCATCAATTAATAGAGTACCGGCATCATTAGTTTAACTTTGTATCTCGACCTGAAGATGCTTTGAAAATTATAGAAAGCGAAACCGGTCGTCAGATTGTTAAATTAAATTGATTGTGAGTAAGTCTTATTATTATTTCTTTACCTATTTGATATGGACTCACACAAGCAACACATTCATGATTTTTTCATAGTTGTAATTAAAAAAAGGTATGTCACTGTGAGCCTAACAATACATGCCTTAAAAACTACTGGCTAAGCTATAGCCACAAAAAGTATTATTCGGTCGTAGATATCACTTTAAGACATTACACAGTGCAGTGATTTTTTGTTGCTTTACATTAAATATCAAAGAACAATGGATTGATTCAATCAACATAACAATGGAGTACAGAAATGCTACAAAAATTATACATAATCTTAGATAAATTTTAATCTTTAATAAAGCAAGAACGTTAAAGAATTAGTTGGGACAGAAAACAAAAAACCTCAAGCATACTATTAGACAAACAAGGAAACATTTTAGTGGAGACAGAACAAAAATTAGGAAGATGGAAAGAATATATAGAGGAATTATTCCATGACCAGAGACAAGAAAATATATATGAAAATAATCAGAGTAAAGACGAGAGACCCGAAATAACAAAGTCATAAGTTATGCATGCAGTAAAGTCCTTGAAAAATAATAAAGCTGCTAGTCCAGATAAAATCCCTAGTGAATTGCTAAAACTGGTCAATGAAAAACACATAGATCTTTTAGTCCAACTACTAAACACAATCTATTCCACAGGAATCATTCCACCTGAAATGCCGACATCAACATTTATCTATCTACCAAAGAAGGTACATGTCAAAGAATGTAGTTATTATCGAACGATCAGTATAATGTCTAATACCATCAAAACTCTGCTAAAAATCATCCAAAATAGAATACACGCTAAGCTGGAGATGGATATTAGTGATTCACAGTTTGGATTTCAGAATGAAATGGGTACAAGGGAGGCACTATTTTCTTGTAACGTGTTGACCCAAAGATGTTTGGATCGAGATATTTATGTATGCTTTATAGACTACAACAAGTCATTAGATAAGGTCAAACATGACCGACTTATAGAAGTACTCAACAACAAGAATCTGGATGTGAGGAATGTAACATCGATATCAAATTTATACTACAGCCGATCAAATGTGAAAATTGGAAGAGAAGTGTCAGAAGAAGTGGAGATAAGGAGAGGATCAGGCAAGGTTGCATAATGTCGCCGTTATTGTTGGCGACGTGTGGACATTTCGAATATTGCTAAAGATTCCATGAGTAAATAGAGTCACAAATACAGAAGTGTTAAGGAGCATAGGCAGAGAGAGGGAAATGAAAAATACA